TTACAATATTGCATAACAGTAAATCTTCAATTTTTTGGTTTGAATAAAAATTCATTATGTGAATAAAAAATCAAAATGGAATTCATTTGTAATGCCTCAAAACATAACTAATGAACAGAGGAAATGTTAGATTAGTGCCAGGAATGCCTACATTATTTATTCTGGAACCTATTTTGAAATTGGAATATTTTGAACTTTGTGTTAAATTGGCCAAATTACCAATTTCCGATCACTTTATTTTGTAGTTGAAACAGACTGACTTGGCGATTTCGTGTGCTCAATCGATAGAAGAGAAGTAATACCAGTGAAACAGCTAAGAATTTGGTCGACTGGAATAATGTAATTGGCATAAAATGGGAGTCAAAGTCGGCAAAATCGCCAATTCGTAAATATCGCAGACACATCAAAATTCGCGAGAGCATAATTTCATCAGTTTTCCATCAAATTTCAAGTTAGAGTATGTAGGAAAGAGGGAGATTATTTCCCAGTAAAAGTAGGCCTTAGACAAGGATGTGTGATGTCACTGTGGTTGTTTAATACATGTATATTTATGGATGGGGTTGTAAGAGAAGTAAATGTGAGGGTCTTGGCAAGAGGCGTGAAGTTAAAAGATAAAGAATCACACATAAAGTGGGAGTTGTCACAGTTGCTCTTTGCTGATGACACTGTGCTCTTGGGAGATTCTGAAGAGAAGTTGCAGAGGTTGGTGGATGAATTTGGTAGGGTATGCAAAAGAAGAAAATTAAAAGTGAATACAGGAAAGAGTAAGGTTATGAGGATAACAAAAAGATTAGGTGATGAAAGATTGGATATCAGATTGGAGGGAGAGAGTATGGAGGAGGTGAATGTATTCAGATATTTGGGAGTGGACGTGTCAGCAGATGGGTCTATGAAAGATGAGGTGAATTATAGAATTGATGAGGGGAAAAGGGTGAGCGGTGCACTTAGGAGTCTGTGGAGACAAAGAACTTTGTCCTTGGAGGCAAAGAGGGGAATGTATGAGAGTATAGTTTTACCAACGCTCTTATATGGGTGTGAAGCATGGGTGATGAATGTTGCAGCGAGGAGAAGGCTAGAGGCAGTGGAGATGTCATGTCTGAGGGCAATGTGTGGTGTGAATATAATGCAGAGCATTCGTAGTTTGGAAGTTAGGAGGAGGTGCGGGATTACCAAAACTGTTGTCCAGAGGGCTGAGGAAGGGTTGTTGAGGTGGTTCGGACATGCAGAGAGAATGGAGCGAAACAGAATGACTTCAAGAGTGTATCAGTCTGTAGTGGAAAGAAGGCGGGGTAGGGGTCGGCCTAGGAAAGGTTGGACGGAGGGGGTAAAGGAGGTTTTGTGTGCAAGGGGCTTGGACTTCCAGCAGGCATGCGTGAGCGTGTTTGATAGTGAATGGAGACAAATGGTTTTTAATACTTGACGTGCTGTTGGAGTGTGAGCAAAGTAACATTTATGAAGGGATTCAGGGAAACCGGCAGGCCGGACTTGAGTCCTGGAGATGGGAAGTACAGTGCCTGCACTCTGAAGGAGGGGTGTTAATGTTGCAGTTTAGAAACTGTAGTGTAAAGCACCCTTATGGCAAGACAGTGATGGAGTGAATGATGGTGAAAGTTTCTTTTTCGGGCCACCCTGCCTTGGTGGGAATCGGCCAGTGTGTTAATAAAAAAAAAATTGTTTTATTACCTTCAGAAAAAGATTATCTACCATTTCATAAGAAAAAATAACAAAATTTTTGGGGGGAAAATTCTTGGACCCTGGCGTGCACTTTGAAATTTGGCCTCTGGACCCTGAAAGGGTTAATTATGACTACAGACATTGTCCTGAAATTTACATCCCCAGAAGCAGCAAACACTATCTTAGCAAGATCACAAATAAAGTGTGTTTAGAATATCAGAGACAACTGAATAACCAAGTGAAGATAAAATCTCACACAGACATATTTTAAAAATGAAGACACAACAAAAGCCAAAGGATAAAACAATAAAAGCAATGAGCAAACACTCAACACAAACAAATACTATCACACTAAGTTACAATAACCAGCATTAATTAAAATCTCATTTAATTTTTAATATTTAAAGATTCTCTTGAAAGACTCGTACACTTGTAATAATGTTAATAGTATGTAAAATTAATCAACTTTAACAGGTTTTCATACATTCAATCTACACACCACTGTTATATGCCTAAAAAGATCTACAGCCCTTCAAAGACATTGTATATATTTTTACTTCTGAGATATTATATTATTTATTTATTTATTTATTTAAAAATTTGAGCACACATACAGAGGTACAACAAATACAGGTAAGAGCAGTATGCCAAAGCCACTTATACTATGCATAGCATTACGGGCTGGCTTAAAATTAACTTAAGATTAACTAAGCAATGATGAAATCAGTGATAAAACATTAATGTAAACAGGTTACTATAAAGCACAAGTGAGTATTACAAAGACAGGTCATATGGTTGTATGCATTGTTGTACATTCAGTAGAATGGAGTATTCTGTTAGGTAGTGTATTTAAAAAATAATAAAGTTAGATTGGGTTTTAGGTTTAACATTTATGTGATATAATTGTGAGAAACATTTAAGATATACAATTTATAAGGTTCAGTTATTCAGTATTTATTTGGTTTTGGGTGAGTAAGTGATCTTTGAGAAGAGACTTGAATTTATAAACAGGTAGTGTTTCTTTTATATTTACAGGTAATGAATTCCAGATTTTAAGGCCTTTTATGTGCATTGAGTTTTTACATAGTGTGAGATGGACACGAGGAACATCAAAGAGTGATCTGTGCCTTGTGTTATGGTCATGTGTTCTGTTGAGGTTGGCAAGGAGATGTTTGAGGGGAGGGTTAATATCAGAGTTAAGTGTTCTATGTATGTAATAGGTGCAGTAGTAAGTATGGATGTTTTGTATGGTGAGGAGGTTTAGTGTATTGAATATTGGTGGAGTGTGCTGCCTATAGTGAGAATTTGTTATCATTCTAACTGCAGCCTTTTGTTGGGTAATTAGTGGTCTGAGATGGTTACTTGTTGTTGAGCCCCATGCACAAATTCCATAGGTGAGATAGGGGTAAATAAGAGAGTGATATAGGGCCAGGAGGGCTGACTGTGGAGCATAGTACCGTATCTTCGATAGTATGCCTACAGTCTTGGAAATTTTCTTAGAAATTTGTTGTATGTGTATGAAATTTGAGTCTATTATCAAGGTGGATTCCTAAGAATTTTCCCTCTGTTAGCTTTGTGATAGGTGATCCGTTTATCATTATGTTAAGAGGGACATCTGTAGCTCTGTTACCAAACTGAATGAAGTAGGTTTTGTCAATGTTTAGTGTAAGTTTGTTAGTTCTCATCCAGGTAGATATTTTCTGTAATTCGGTATTTACAGTATTGGCTAGCGTACAGTGGTACCTCGGGATACGAACAGCTCAAATTGCAAAAAATTATGTAAGTGTATTTATGCAAGTGTATTTATAAGAGTGTATTTATGTAAGTGCTTTTGTAAGTGTATTTTTGGGGGTCTGAAACGGATTAATCTAATTTACATTATTCCTTATGGGAATAAATTCATTCGATATCGGCACTTGACCAGCCTTCTGGAACGAAATAAATTCGTTTCCCGAGATACCACTGTGTAATAATACGTAATCTGTATTTCTACAAATACATGTACAAGGTATACAGGCCTAACTGACATCAATGACATATTACTATATAGAAAGCTGCTTGTTATACAGGGCATTCTGGGCAAATTAGGTCAATTTTGTCCCAGGATGCAACTTACAACAGTCGACTAACAAGGTGGACAGAAACAAAATGTTCCAGAGATGGGACACAGCAACAACGAGACGCAGATGGAAGCTGAAGACTCGGATGAATCACAGGGATGGTAGAAGTACTTCTTCAGTCACAGAGTTGTCGGGAAGTAGAATAGTTTGGGAAGAGATGTAATGGAGGCAGGATCCATACAGAGCTTTAAGAAGAGGTATGAAAAATCTCATGGAGCAGGAAGTGTGACCCAGTAGTGGCCAGTGAAGAGGTGGGGCCAGGAACTGTGACTCAACCCCTGCAACCACAACTAGGCGAGTACCCACGTACCCATTTTTACTGATGGGTGAACATGGACAACAGGTGTAAGGAAACATGCCCAATGTTTTCACCCTTGCCGGAATCAAACCTGGACCCTCAGTGTGTGAAGCGAGAGCTTTGCCTACCAGTCCACAGGCCACATTGGAGTTATGGGCACAAATTATTATTATCATACCAATAATAATAATCTACACACTATGCAGATTCAACCTATGATAATACAACAATGTTAATGTAATTTATTTCCATTGGAATAATTCCAAATTTGGTTTCAAAACATACCTACGATGGCCTGTGGCCTGGTGGCAAAAGCTCTCGCTTCACACGGTGAGGGTCTGGGTTCAATTCCCGGCGAAGGTTGAAACATCAGGCGTGTTTCCTTACACCTGTGGTTTATGTTCACCCATCAGTAAAATAGGTACCTGGGTGTTAGTTGACTGGTGTGGGTCGCATCCTGAGACAAAATTGACCTAATTTACACGAAATGCTCTACATAACAAGCAGCCTTCTATATAGTAGTAAGTCATTGATGTCTGATTGTCCTGTATACCTTGTACATGTACTTGCAGAAATAAAGATATTATTATTGTTACAAAGACGTGACTCGAATATTTTATTGTACCAGCATGCTAATACAAGCATTTCCTGGTTAGTTTTACGTTTACTAACTTTATTAGGTTATCCCAGGTTTATTTATACATAAGTTACTCTTTTAAGAAAATTGTCGAGATCTCAATTTGTGTAGTGAACCTGAAAAAAAAATTAAAGCTGCACATCACCTATGCACCACCTTTAATCAATAACAGATTAACACAAGCTGCGTATGTACAGTGAGAGATACATCCCTCCTGGTGTATATACCCCTCAACTGTTTCTTCTGTTAAGTGAATAAATTACATCTTTACCTTAACAGAGCGAGATAATATAGCAGCGAGTCTAGCGCCACATTCCTCCACTTTTGAAAATGTCAACATGTGACGTCATCAACCTCCTCCGCCTTCATCAACATTCAATGTTGCAAGAATATACATACCATTTTATATTCTGGAAAAATATCCGCAGCTTTCCCTATTTTAACTGATCATAACTACATATAAGCTGCACTGTGATGTTTATGGGATTATATTCATAACTGTGTGAACAACTCACTATTTATTTTTTTCAGAATCAAAATTGATAACATGAACGTAGATAAGTATGTTTATGGAGCAACTTGCAATGTGAACAGACTGACTGATGTTGTAGTGGCCAGGTTTAGGCTTGGTTACAAGTACTTCTGGCAGTTTGGGAGACACACAGATGATGATCAAACTAAATGTAAATTATGTGATCAGGCATATGGTCACTCTCTTGAACACTATGTGCTTAATTGTCCACTTATTGAGGAATACAGAGACAGACAGTATAATAACCTATGTGACATGTCAAGATATCTTATTAATGAAAATAAGATACCAGATATACTAAGAAAATTTCCTAAATTTGCTTGTAACAGATAAGTGAACTATAGATATGTAGATATAAATCCATATGTATTCCTGTTAACCTTTTGGGGCCTAGTTCCTAGGCCTTTTCCCCTCAAGGAAGGTTCCTTGATGTTGGTGAGGGGCTCTTGATTTAGGGAATTGGATCTGTGCTCCAGTTCCCCGAATTAAGCCTGAATGCCTTCCACATCCCCCCCCCCCAGGCGCTGTATAATCCTCCGGGTTTAGCGCTTCCCCCTTGATTATAATAATAATAATCCTAGGCCTTTTGTGTATCCATATGCTCTCGCGCTACCGTCCACAGGATGGATATGGGGTGCACAATAAACTAGCCACTTCGGTGGCAAAATCTAATCTAAATGGTTCATTACAAACGCAAATACAAATTTTTATTTCCTTGCAAGATTACATTGAAATTATGTGATTACAATAATGAGTAAGCATTGGCATTATGGGAAGACTAAATTAAATTGCTTACAGACTACTTAATACTAGAGAAATTTATTTATTTATTTATTTATTTTATTTGGACATGATACATAGTTGTACAAAGAAATATAGTAGTTGGGTGTACATGCCAAAAGCCCCTTGTATGCATAGCATTATGGGCAGGCTTAAAATTAACTTCAGATTAACTAAGCAATGATATATTCAGTGGTAAAAATTACAGTAAACAAATTACAACATGAAGTACAAATGAGTATTTCAAAAAAGAACATTAAAGTTGTACAAATTTGTAGCATAACAATGTATAATATAATCGAATCAGGCGCCCAAGAATTGGGCGCGACCTACTTCCACATTGAACAAACGTGACACCACCTATGACTGCTGCACCTCTCCTGCCTACGGTTTATAAGCTCCTTCTCCGCACGTATGCCGTATTCTATTCAAGATTGATGGACTGACCACATCGACTCAAGGTTGAGGGACTGATTACCTCATTCTCCACCTGTTCTTCAAGATTCTCCTTTGTATGGACTGATGAAGCCACTGTGTGGCGAAACGTTTCCTCAATAAAGATACCCAAGAGTTGCACATTTGTCTAATTTATCAACATGTCGGTTCTCTGAACCATTCATCTACAGATTACAAAGGTACATAATGGGTCCAGGGACTGGACCCCAAAGTTATGATAGCTGAACTAGTTACAAAGGTAATGAACTCCAGGTAGATCTGGTCACAATCATGGCAAGTTACAAAGGTAATGAATCAGCCTCACTCCTATACATGGTTACAGTCATGAACAAATTACAAAGTAATGAGCCACTGATACGTCCACACCTGGTCACAACTGTAATGAGTTATAAATACAAATATTAAGTGGATCATACACCAAACGAGCGCATGCGCACACACATACACACACTTCAACACATCCCTTGAAACTGGGCAACTACCTGAGAAATGGAAGACAGCAAATGTAGTCCCCATGTTTAAGAAAGGAAACAGAAATGAGGCACTAAACTACAGACCTGTGTCTCTGACATGCATTGTGTGCAAAGTCATGGAGAAGATTATCAGGAGGAGAGTGGTGGAACACCTGGAACGGAACAAGATTATAAATGAAAACCAGCATGGGTTCATGGAAGGCAAATCCTGTGTCACAAACCTCCTGGAGTTTTATGACAAGGTAACAGAAGTAAGACACGAGAGAGAGGGGTGGGTTGATTGCATTTTCGTAGACTGCAGGAAGGCCTTTGACACAGTTCCCCACAAGAGATTAGTGCAGAAGCTGGAGGATCAGGCGCATATAACAGGGAGGGCACTGCAATGGGTCAGGGGATACCTAACAGGGAGGCAGCAACGAGTCATGATACGTGAAGAGGTATCACAGTGGACGCCTGTGACGAGCGGGGTCCCACAGGGGTCAGTTCTAGGACCAGTGCTATTTTTGATATATGCGAACGACACGATGGAAGGAATAGATTCTGAAGTGTCCCTATTCGCAGATGATGTGAAGTTGATGAGAAGAATTAAATCGGATGAGGATGAGGCAGGACTGCAAAGAGACCTGGACAGGGTGGACATGTGGTCCAGCCTGCAAAGTCATGAAGATTGGGGAGGGGCAAAGAAGACCCCAGACAGAGTATAGGCTAGGTGGACAAAGACTACAGACCTCACTCAGAGAGAAAGACCTTGGGGTGACCATAACACCGAGCACGTCACCGGAGGCACACATCAACCAAATAACTGCTGCAACATACGGGCGCCTGGCAAACCTGAGAATAGCGTTCCGATACCTTAATAAGGAATCGTTCAAGACACTGTACACTGTGTATGTTAGGCTCATACTGGAGTATGCAGCACCAGTCTGGAACCCACACCTGGTCAAGCACGTCAAGAAGTTAGAGAAAGTACAAAGGTTTGCAACAAGGCTAGTCCCAGAGCTCAGGGGAATGTCGTACGAGGAAAGGTTGAGAGAAATCGGACTGACGACACTGGAGGACAGAAGGGTCAGGGGAGACATGATAACGACATACAAGATACTGCGGGGAATAGACAAGGTGGACAGAGATAGGATGTTCCAGAGAGGGGACTCAGAAACAAGGGGTCACAACTGGAAGCTGAAGACTCAGACGAGTCACAGGGACGTTAGGAAGTATTTCTTCAGTCATAGAGTCGTCAGGAAGTGGAATAGCCTAGCAAGTGAAGTAGTGGAGGCAGGAACCATACATAGTTTTAAGAAGAGGTATGACAAAGCTCAGGAAGCAGAGAGGGAGAGGACCTAGTAGCGATCAGTGAAGAGGCAGGGCCAGGAGCTGAGTCTCGACCCCTGCAACCACAATTAGGTGAGTACACACACACATGGTAATGCATTATTTACAGCTAGCAGTCAGGGTATTTCTCCAGAATGGTCTGTAATATACCACTGTGGATAAAATACTTTGCCATTTCTAGAACATTTCTGAGTGAGTTGTTTCTAAATTCATTAATCTGATCACACTCCAGTACATAATGACGCAGGGTGTGACAATAGTCCATCTGGCAAAATTTACATTTCGTTTGGTCTACATCTGGTGGTGGTGATTTAACCTGCCATAGATAAACCATACCACGGGCGGGATTTGAACCCGCGGTCAGAGAGTCTCAAATCCCGCCCGTGTTAGTTAGTTTTAGTTTAATATGTTTATTATGCACCCCATACCCATCCTGTGGGCGGTAGTCAAAAGATTACAGAGGTACATAATTGGTCCAGGGACTGGACTCCAAAGTTTTGATAGCTGAGCAAGTTACAGAGGTAATGAACTCACAATTTACAAAGGTAATGAACTCACAATTTACAAAGGTAATGAACTCACAATTTACAAAGGTAATGAACTCCAGGTAAGTCTGGTCACAATCATGACAAGTTACAAAGGTATTTACAGATTACAGAGGTACGTAATGGGTCCAGGGACTGGGCCCCCAAAGTTTTGATAGTGAATAGGTCAAAGGTAATGAGCTACAATTTAAAAAGGTAAGAATTCTGTAGAATGGTTACTTACTTTTTAAATTTGGCTAAATCATGAAAAAATTTATAGAGAATGAGCAATTCACCTTCCACCCCGGGTCCAACTGTAATGATTTTGGGCAAAAATTGATTTTGAGTCACACACCAAACACAACACCACCACACAAAACAAACAAAAACCCCAAAACCCACACAACAACACACACACCCCCCACACCCACACCGCACCCACACCCACACCCACCACACACACACACGCACACACACCACACCACACCCCCCTCCACACCCGCACACCCACCCTCACACACCCCCACACAACGCACCACAACCAAACACACACACCCCACACCACCACACACCCACACACACACCACACACACCAAAACCTCCCCCACACCACAAACCACACACACACACACACACAAACAACACACCACACCCACACACAACAACCCACACACCCAAAATGCACACATGTGGTAATGTTTATTTACAGCTAGAAAAAGTCAGGGTTTTTCCCAGAAGGTCTGAAATTTTAACCACGGGGATAAAATATTAGCCATTTCTTGAACACTTCTGAGTGGTTGTTTCTAAAATTCTTTAAAATTTGATCACACTCAGTAATATGACGCAATTTGACAATAGTCCATCCAAATTTTACATTTCTTTTTGGTCAAATCGGGTGGTGGTGTTTTAAAACCTGCCAAAGATACTTGAACCACCGGACCGGGGCGTAGTGACATCCAAGAGTCAAATTTTCTTGTTGGATGCACCTGACATGTGGCTCCTCCGCTGAGGGAATGATGATAGAGGACGCTTGTGTCAATCTCCCAAAGTTTTAAAAGTCAAAAAGTTCATTTGAAGTTTTTTTGTATTTTTGTTCTCAAACTGCAAAATGACAACCCAAGATTTAATTACCCCTCTTTAAAAGATACAGCTTAGCCAAATTTTTATCAGTTCTATAAGCATTGAAGCCCAATGTGGATGGAATCCACAGCATGTGCCTGACCCACTGCCCACAACTTCCATATCTATGTCTGGCTTTGACAAAAGATCCCACAATTTATACTTAATGAGTTG